TGTGGCCAAATCCTTAAAGAAGAAGGAATTCTACTCCAATAAGGAGTTAGAAATTCTCTTTGAGCTCTATTCAAACAAGGAGATAGCAATTTTGTTTATTCCTTCCTAAGTTAGGAATCCTACTGCATTAAGGAATAGTCAAGTCAATTCCTACTAAGAAGTGCTTGAATTGATCTCTTCGTTTTAATTTGTTTAGGTTTGGTTCTTTTATTGGTTTTCTTGTTCGTTCCTTTGTATCTTTCTATTTCCTTCAACTCTTGCAGATTTTTTGGAATTAGATTGCTGCAAAATAACTTGAATTGAGCTTGTTTAGTTCAATAATGAACTGAAAGAGGAAAGTTGAGTGAGGGAAAAAGGCAAGAGGTGTGAGCAACACTTGAGAGAAAAACCAAGTTCTACAATGTGTAAAACACGAGCGTTGAGTGCCATTATGTGAGAGAGTGGAGTGAAACACGTAAGGGAGTGTTGTGAGGTCCTTTTATTCTTCTGTTTCTAACATTCGTTACAGGTTTCAATCATGTCAAGTGGTGATAACAAATCAACCACTAAAAGCCACCATGTGGATGAATCCTTCATCCTCAAAGCAATGCAACAACAATTTTAGAGACTGGACATCATGTTTGGTGAGATTAAAGACAAAATGAAGAAGCAAGATGCAGTGATAGCTAAGTTATACCAAACACGTAATAGAAGTCCGAATTTGCATAGGAATGATGCTAATGACGATTTCAATGACGATTATGAAGATGCACTCAACAACGACACCCAGAACTCAAATTTCAGCTTGGATAGAATTATGAGAGGTAGAGGGGGCCAAAGAGAGCAAAATCTGACAAGGTGGGGAGATTGCCAAGATCGTGACTTAGGTAGCATCAAGATGAAGATTCCTTTGTTTCAAGGCAAAAATGATCCAGATGTGTATTTGGAGTGGGAAAAAAAGGTGGAATTGGAGTTTGATTGCCATAACTATTCTGAGGAGAAAAAGGTGAAACTAGCAGTGGTGGAATTTACTTATTACGCTGTGGTGTGGTGGGATCAGCTTGTGCTTAGTCGACATAGAAATCGAGAGCATCCTGTTGACACTTGGGAAGAGATGAAGGCTGTGATGAGAAAACGGTTTGTTCCTACCTAGTCACTACTACTACAATCTCTATCAACAATTACAGGGCCTTACTCAAGGGTCAAGAAGCGTTGAGGATTATCACAAGGAGATGGAAATCGCAATGGTTAGAGTGAATGTCAAAGAGGATAAAAAAGCAACAATGGCACGGTTTTTGCATGGTTTAAATCGTGATATAGCTAATGTGGTGGAATTGTAGCATTATATTGAATTAGAGGATATGGTGCACATGGCAATGAAAGTAGAAAGGCAACTCAAGCATAAAGGTGCCACCACTAGAACTGGGAAAAATCCAGGTTCCTCATTTGCTTGGAAACCAAATTGGAGCAAAAAGGAAGAAAATTCTGCTCTCAAGCCTAAAACTTCAACATTTAAGTCAAAAGACATTGGCAGCAATGAGAAGAGTAAAACTGACAATATGCAAGGCAGAAACCGAGACATTAAGTGCTTTCGATGCTTGGGAAGAGGGCATATTGCATCGCAATGCCCTAATAAGCACACAATGATCTTGAGAGAAGATGGAGAAATTGAAACCGAGGGTGAGTCTGATGATGAATCTATGCCACCATTAGAAGATGTTAATGATGGTGTAGAGTATGCTGTTGATGGAGAACTGCTCATCACCAAGCGAGCTTTGAATGTGCAAGCCAAAGAAGATGATGAAATACAATGTGACAATATATTTCACACGAGGTGTCATGTCAAAAACAAGGTATGTAATGTGATTATTGATGGTGGTAGTTGTACTAATGTAACTAGCACTGTTTTGGTTGAAAAGCTTAATTTACCTATGACGAAGCATCCAAGGCCATATAAGCTTCAATGGTTAAATGATTGTGGAGAAATTAAGGTAAATAAGCAAGTTCTGGTTTCATTCTCTATCGGACGATATAAGGATGAGGTACTGTGCGACGTGGTTCCTATGCATGCTGGACATTTACTTTTGGGGAGACCATGGCAATATGATAGGAGAGTAACACATGATGGCTTCAAAAATCGCTATTCATTCATCATGGAGGGGAAACAATTACTCTTGTGCCATTGAGTCCAAGGCAGGTTTATGAAGATCAACTAAGACTGAAAAAAGAGAGTAACTTGAGAAAAGAGAGTGAGCTTGAGGGTATGAAAAACAAAGAGAAAACAATAGAGAAAGAATTAAAAAAGAGAGAAAAGATCAAGAGTGTTGAAAACAAAGAAAGAAAATCAATGAGTGTTTATGTAGAAGAAAGTGATGTCAAGGCTGCGTTCTTTGCAAAGCAGCCTATGTTTGTGCTTCTGTATAAAGATGCTTATTTCAACACTAACAAACTTAATGATTCTTTGCCTAGTGCTATTAAATCTCTTTTGCAGGACGTCAAAGACGTGTTTCTAGAGGACATCTCTAATGGTTTACAACCAATAAGAGCAATTGAGCATCAGATTGACTTCATTCAAGGTGCAACAATTCCAAACCGACCAGCATATCGAAGCAATGCTAATGAGGAGAAAGAACTTGAAAAGTAGGTTGAAGAACTCATGAAGAAGGGGCATGTGAGAGAAAGCATGAGTCTATGTGCAATTCCAGTGCTACTTGTGCCTAAGAAGGATGGGATTTGGCGCATGTGCATTGATTGTCACGCGGTCAACAAAATCACTGTAAAGTATCGTCACCCTATTCCTAGATTAGATGACATGTTAGATGAGTTGCATGGTTCTTGCATATTCTCTAAAATTGATTTAAAGAGTGGATATCATCAGATTAGGATGAAGGAAGGTGATGAATGGAAAATAGCCTTTAAAACGAAACATGGTTTATATGACTGGTTAGTTATGCCATTTGGATTAACTAATGCACCTAGTACAGTCATGCGATTAATGAATCATGTTTTGCGTGCTTTCATTGGCAAATTTGTGGTTGTTTATTTTGATGACATTCTGATATATAGTAAGAGTTTAATTGATCATATTGAGTATTTGCAAATGGTACTTGAGGTTCTAAGAAAAGAAAAGTTGTTTGCTAACCTTAAAAAGTATTCCTTTTGCACAAATCAAATTGTCTTTTTAGGGTATTTTGTTTCAATTGATGGACAAACAAAAGTGGTTAGTAGGGCGTTGTCAACCTTATTGTGATCTATCACTGAGAAGAACTTGAAGAATTGGGAAGAGTGTTTGCTACACATTGAATTTGCTTATAACCGGAGCATCCATTCAGCAACTAACTGTTCGCCATTTGAGGTTGTGTATGGTTTTAATCCACTCACTCCTTTGGATTTATTGCCATTACCTATTGATGAACAAGCTAGTTTGAATGAAAAAAAGAAAGCTAAAGTGGTTAAGCAACTACATGAGGGGGTGCGACAAAACATAGAGCGATGAACTGAGCAATATGCAAAACCCAACAAAGGATGCAAGAAAGTTGTATTTGAACCTGGAGATTGGGTTTGGGTGCATATGCGCAAGAAGCGATTCCCTGCACAAAGGCGTTCTAAGTTGCAACCAAGAGGCAATGGACCATTTCAAGTGATTGCGAGGATTAATGACAACGCATACAAGTTGGAGCTTCCTGGTGAGTATAATGTCAGTGCTACTTTTAATGTTTTTTATCTTTCTCCTTTTGATGTAGGTGACAATTTGAGGACAAATCCTTTTGAGGAGAGAGGGAATGATGGGAATCAAGACGACAGCATATCTACTATGTCATGTGATCCATTACACACCCAAGGAGGACCAGTCACGCGAGCTAGAGCTAAGAAGATGCATGAAGCTTTAAATGGCCTTATTGAGCAAATCTGGGTTGAAAACAACATACAACAAGCAAATCGAAGTTTGGATGATTATCAAGGCATGGTAA